GCACTGCTCACCGAACAGACAACCCGATTGGAAAATGCCTATGCTCGACTAAAGAATCAAGCTGGCGAGTCGAAGACGGAACTGTACCATTCCACCACTAGCGTGAATGAAAAAACTTTCGAGTGAGCATTGCTTTTTATCTCTCCGACTTAGTTTGGCAGTTTTGGTTGCTTTTTTAGTCTGATCGTTGACCGCGATTTTAAAATTTGAAGTTGAATGGGATTGACGCGGCATATTGATCATGTAATCTGACGTCTTTTTAGTCGATGACTGACCACTTGCCTACCCCAGCTCTTTCATTGTGGAAACGATACACAGTCGTACATTTCGTCCTGGCACCCTCATTATGGTTCACGTGTATACTTGTCAGTAAATTAAATGTAATTTGGAAAAACATTCCCTACATGATCGAACGTCGATAGTGTGCTATTCAGACTGAGTGTAGTCTCAATCGCAATCGGCCCAAAAAGCAAATTATGACTCGTGGGCTTGAATCACAATCATTTGGCGGGAATACTTCAAATCGATTAAATACGGTCAAGCCCTCAGTTCAGTGGTAATTCCACAAATTTATGCACACCAAAGATGGATCCTGAGTGCATCATAAGCACCCACTTATTATTCGCCAAATGCCAGCCTTTTAAGGAATTCTCAACACACCGAATTTATTGAGATTGGTATTTGGCGAACTAACCGAAAATTGTTTGAATAATTTTCAAATTCAGCAGCGAAAATTGGTTGCTTCAAATATAAATGCGATCTGATTTCCAAAATCCAATCAACAGCTGGGATAGTCGGCAGCTATCCAAAATGTGATCACATAGAGATAGAGACACGTATAAGAGGCCAGATGTGAGACAACAAAAATCGCAAATCACTCAGCGCCGATCAATAATAACTAATTAAACTTTCTTTTTCCCTTTTTCGACTGCTTCCATTTGAGGACATCGATACGATACTCATACCGATTGATCAGATGTGATCTGAACAACAATTGCTCGCACACATTGTAGCTTTTACGTTACCAGCAAGTCTGACAAATGTGTCGATGCCTGAGATGTAGGATTTTATCTTTTCGTGGAATCATTCATGATTAATGGGTGACTGTTTTGTATGCCGCATTAAAAAATGCACAAACATTGGCATCAACGGACCCTTTGTTTCAATCGATCGGAATAAATGTCGCGCGCGAAATACTGAACAGTTTCATGGTGCATCCTATTTCGTATTTGAAAAATCGTCCTTTCTGACTGAATTTGTTAAATGTCCGTAAACGAGACCACCACGCCAAAATAGTACATTAAAAATGATACGAACGGCAAGAGTGAACGTTTTTATTCTTCCTATACTTCTTTTCTTGCTGGATACCTAATAGTAAATCTTCAGGTCAGGTCAATTTAAGAGCTGTCAGATGCAAGGGATAGGTAGGCGGTGGAGGGGTTCGAACACATGATCTCTGGGGCAATAATTTGGTGACCACAACCGTTGACCAACGGTGTCATTCAAATAAACACTTCAAAGAGAAGAACTCACTGCTACTAACCATGGAACATTGAAATTTTTATTACAAGCCATGTAGTGACCATGACTCTTCCATGCTAGTCTTCCCTTATGATCACATGTGGTCTGCTTTTCATATTGTTCGATTTTTACACACCGAACGTCCATGAATAGGTAACTACATAGTGACAAACTGTTGAAGGAACAGATTAGCTACATGGCTGTTTTATTCTGTTATTTGTGAACAACACTGAATTTGCCGAACCCGTCCCTGTACGGTCATCTGAACGGGATGTTTTGCAGTCAGCCAAGACGACCGTTTCCGGTTGGTATTCAACGCCTCTAACCCAGGCTAAAGGCCATCCGCGTTGACCCCGTGTGTGCGTGTGTTTATTTTCAGGCTAGTTGTTAACAGCGGCTTCCGGCAGGTACGCAATATTCGCACTCACACACCTCGCAAATCGATACTTTTTTCACTGTCACTGATCACAGATGTACAATATTATCATAAAACCGCTTAATGCTTTAATAGTTGTGCAGTTCACGAACCAGGATTACACATGCGTTACTTCTGCCGAACCTAACGGTATCATAAGTACTTTTTAGATGCATTTATTTCAATCTAATTCAGTCCACTTTCAAACGGGTTTTTGTTTGGTTGTAGCGAATCCAACACATACAGTCTGTTCTCCCGTTTGTTCTGCTTCTCATCAGCGTTGTCAAATCATTTCGCTCATCCGCTGAATCTTCCGGGTCTACAAGTTCCCTATCACAAACCTCGGAGCGACTAAAGCAGCAAATTACAACAACCGGCAAAACCTTCGCGGTCCACACAGCCGTCTGCTCTCGAATTACGTCTGGCTCCAATCGTTCTGATGCATCGCACTCGGAGCTGTGGTCCGGACCAAATAAATCTACCCGTAGTGAGTGCTAAAATGAGGAAATTAGAGCGTACGTAATCCACAGCCGCGAAGAAACTGAGAGGCTCCTTGGAGTCCAGGCGAGCTTGGTACGAGATAGCATCAGACCAGGGGATAGTTACGGGTCCGAAAAGATAGAATTCCCCAGGATTTTCTTTCCGGGTATGATTGGATTCACCAACTGGAGGTTCATCCAGTTTAAAAAGTAGATCCAAAACTGAACCAATCAGTATCGCGATCGACAGCGGATGATTTCTTGAGAGATTAAACAAAACTAGCATTCAAAGATAGCTGAATTAGATGATGAAAAGAACTTATTAGATTAAAACAAGATGTTCTTGTCTCGGATGAGGATCCTACCATTGTATATGAAATGCAAAAGATGAGTATAACTGAATGTTTGTTTGCAATCTGTTTGTCGACTGTAATGACAGCCACATGTATGAGAGTGCTGTGTTAGTTGGTCAGGAGCGGAATTTAATCACCCTGACGGGACTGATGCGCACGGGTAGGTCGGCTCGATGATGGAGAACTGATCAACTCAGATGTCTTTTTGGTCACCCTAATCGGATAAAGTTTTCCATCGTCCTCACATTCAAGGAAGTCGAATTGTTCACGTTTACAGTTTAATTAAGTATTAGTTCAAGATCTTTGCAATTTTCATCTATTTGTTTGTGGGGGAGGCAAAGGAATAAACAGAATAATCGTGCTTCTATCCAAAACAGGCCAATAGCACAGAATTTACATTTGTTTTAGAGGCACTGATAGACGTGTGCGCCTTTCTCAAGCATATATTCACAAGGAATGAATGTCTATTGAACGCCTACAGTTTCAACCACTTGCATACCGCTACATCTATTTTGTTTCAATTCGGTTTTCAGGAATAAATTGACATCCTGAACTTGATTGTCTGTATTATCTTTCTCGCCATGGGTCCTATGTTGTGTAGCTAGGACTAGATTGCTAGTTCGATCCGAGCAATGTGTTGTACGGATTCCGTACTTTGTTGAAGTGGGCATACTTATATTTCCTCATCATCTACGTTAACATGTGGAATCCAGTTGCGTCACTGAGTGCCATTTGATATTCTGCTTCGGATAACTAGTAAATTAGACGATACTATGATACTATTACTATTACTATACTATTACAGCAGTAACGTTTATAATGAGAAACACATTTTATGTTCTGATAAAGGCAATGAGAAGGCGTGAAAGTACGGTTAATGATGAAGGCTGCACATGGATGAGATCTACTCAGAATAAAAGTTCATGTGCATCCGTGTTGTCTTTCACTGTCAATTCATTTATCTAAGCATAACCGAAAACGTTGTACCAGTCTGTCAGTGGTTTTCTCATTTCAGAAAAGCGAGGTGCTCCATTCATGAGATCTTGAGATCCTTGTCAGAGAGCAGAAAGCGACGAAAATCCCGATCGTGAATTTGTGAACCAAACAAATTTTCGTATTCTCTTGGTATACACACAGAATACAGAATAAATAGAACATGGAAAGTCTTTTTTCAACGATTGGTTTCTGGTTGTCACGAGAGACTTGGACTAAGTTGTGGATGGAGGATACAAACTACAGAACAACTATAATTTCTATCTTATCAGACCTCAAACTAATCATTTCTTGTCAAATTATACGTTCATAATAATAACAATAATGAGTTACGGGTCACTTTTTATATTTCACTGAACGATAATGGGTCATCAAAAGCACATCATCAGGAGACCTACATCGATGGGAAAGGCTGTCTTCAACCCCAGTCGAGAAGTGGGAATAACGACAGAGGACGAGAATGGTCTTATTCACCGAACAAAAATGAACTGATTTAATCTCTTTTCTAAACTTCCATTTCCTTATTAAAAAAAGAATTGGGAGGGGATGGATTATTTATTCAAAACATGAGCTGTACAGATAGATGGCCAAGGTTTCAAGATCGATTCACCAGGAAATCGTAAAAAATATCCTTTTCAACGAAAACCCACTAGCTTCAATCGCAGACAACTCGCCTCAGTTTCAAAATAAGTATGCTTAATTATATCGGGGCCCAATGGCAAAGGTGAAGCACGAAAACCTGGGCCAAATAATCTGAACTATGTGATGAATCAACTTGCAGGACTCTTCATTCACTCAGGACTCAGTAAACAGCCTGCGATAGATATGCCATGGTTAACGGATGTGCGGTATGCAAATGGTGTAGTGGTGTTTTGTAATGAGATAGGTTGGATTCGAGCCCTGAATTCATTCGAAGCACACTGGCAACGCACTCCGAGTTCGGATGCCACTAATCATCACAGAAGACCGCACCCGATCCCTGGACACTCAATAACGCCTTCGATGTGCAGGCAGAGTATAACCCTGATAGCAGGTTCTCATTGGAGAGGTCGGGAGAAAGTCAAACAAGGTTCGATGAGAAATGCATACAACTCGAATCTTGTCAAATATTCCTTTAGCTACACGTCACGCGACACCAACTGTTATCCCACGATGGTCCGAAATTAGAGATACTGAAAAATTAGTAAACACTTGATCATGGGAAACAACCATAAGTTAGGTAAAACACTTCAGAATTGGACATATCTTCCATTGGGAGACAGAGAAACTAAATGTAGCACGGAAAGTAATTTGGATTAATGACCTGTAACTTTCTCTCTCTTTCTCTATAGGCAATTTAAACACCTACCAAAGGTTCCCGTCAGTTGACTAGACATCGTGCAATAAAAAAAAACGTCATATGAGGTCAGTGGTGTGGACGGACAACGGTCCGCCACCTGGTGTAAACAGGGTTAGAGGAAAGCGAATCATCAATCAGATTCAAGTTCCCTCGTTGGAAGCACTGAAGGACGAATAAACCAAATGACCCAGCGTGTGTAGACGAGGTTTATCAATAACATTGCATGTATCAAATTGTGTATGTAGCATATGGAATCGAACAATGGCCTGCTCCATAAACCCAGGTGAATAAAAGTCAATCGGCCATATGTTCGTCTCAAACTGGACAGATGTGCGTTTTGGTCATCTCTCACACAATCACAATGCATGAAGATGAGTATACCGAAAGCGCACAATCTGGCTTTCCATCGAATCGCCGGGCCACTAGTGCTGTCATGAATATCCCTAATGGGGCGGAAGAAGATCTCGGAATCACATGTAAAGCTTGTTTGAAGAACTCCGTGTGACATTCCATATCCTGAGGGCAAAACGGATTCAACCGAACCGAGAGACATAAACGAGGGGGTAGAGCAATGCACACGCATATTCGGTTTAATATCAATCGCCTACCCGAATAACCGTTTTCACCTACTCGTCAAATATGGCGAAATGGAACTCTGCTAATACTATCAAAAAGCGTGCGGTGGAACTTCATTTCCCTAGGCTGAGATATGCTCACAAGTTCCGAATCTGTGCAAAGGTTTTTTATAGGCATAGGGTGGGTCAATGTTCTATTATGAGAATAATCTACCAGCCAATAGGGTGCCTACACAATTGAACCGTTTCTCAGCAAAAGATGATAGATATCTGATAACACCAACTGTAGTCTTCGACTAATGTGCGTTTTTGGTTGTGTAGGAATTTGAGGTGTGCCACTTGAAAGATTCAACAGCTGGCGCGCAAAGGAAGGGTGTCCTAAGTGATGCACATCCGGATTGCAAAAGGTTGACGAGGGCGTTTCAGTCGACGAACTTTGGAATTACCAACTTGGATTGATGTTCCCTAGGGCACATAGCCTAGTTGACGTCTCAGATTGCGGTGAACTGCACGCTTTCTAACCAAATAATTGAAAAAAGACCGTGGAGTGAGAATACCAAACAGAATGAGAGTAGTAGGCAACAGTAGCCCAGCAAACTGGGCTTCTGAAAATCGGAATATGCCTTGATTGCATCTGCATACCAATTACTCGAGTGGTTGGACCAACACTGCTGACGCGGACGTGATCGGTGAACACGAGTCGCAGCAGTCGACTACGATCCTCAGGCGCTTTCCCATATAACCAATGCAACGATCAGAGTTTCATGCGTTGAGTGAGTGAAAGATGGTCGATTAATCGCTGAATACAATCTAAAATGTACGCACCCCATTCCAGAATTCGGTGGAGCGTGACACAATGCACAATGGGGAGCAAAACGGTTAAGCATTTGGCGACCTCTTGGAAGATAACCGTGAAGTTTCTATCCGTTAGTCCACACCGAGTTTCGGTGTCAAAAGGGATACATTTTAAACAGAGTGTACTGTTCGGGATCAAAAGTAAAACGACTCCCCCTCCGGTTACGAATTATTAAGTTTATGGAGCAGTGGTGTGAGGCGAAAAAGGGAATGTTGCATAGCACACAATTATTTTTTAGATTGGAGTTACGAATATCTGTCGTCCAGTTCAATATCCCGCCTAACCCAGCTAGGCCTTATGTGGTTCGCCATTCCAAGTCTCGTTTGATAAATACAAACAAAGGCGTTTGCCAGAGCTATAAACCCTATTTGCTTCTTTGAATGTTCAAAAGTGCACGGTGTCCAATTTCTCAAAGGTTTCGCACGCACAATAATTCAAAACTGACCGAGAATAAACCGACCGTCGACAGATATAATTCCAGTGGGTTGGTTGTCTTCATTCCAGAAGAGATTTCATACCGGTTCGGTAAAGATAAGGAAACGAACGTGCATTGAAACTATCTTGATTGTTCAACGAAAAACTAATGGAATCGGTTGTTTTCAGACTAGTGGCTTACTGTTTCCCTCAGTTGTTAAAGAATGGGATCGGTACAAACTGGAATCAAGCTTGAAACGTTCTTGCACGTTTATCGACTAATTTTAGCACCGGGTACATCCCTGACCGAACTGATTACAAAAATGCGAGAATAGCCAGAGAGAGGAAACAAGAATTAGATCCGAAACAGCCGGAAGCTGTCTCTGCGAATAGAACACAGAACTGACCCATCCCTTGCAATAAATTTGTAATAACGTGTCAAAATAGAATCCGATTAGAGACAAAATGTTGATGAGTTAATCTTGTTTCGAAGCAATTCTTGACACATACAAATCATATAAGCATGTGTAGTTGGTAACAGTCTGGCAATGAGAAAGAATGATGAGAAAAGTCAGATCACAATGGAGACAGACGGTGGGTTGCATGGGAAAACAAAACCATTTAACGATAGTAGCAGTATACGTGTATGAATTTGTATATGTATAGATCATATATATGCACACAATGATTTATGGAAAAATGGGAGGAAAAGAAAGAAAAGAATAATGTAAGTCACCAGTGGTTCTTTTGCAGATTCGGAAGACTATGCGAAGTACCGAGAAATCAAACCAGGGAACCAAATGAAATGATCGATAAGGAAAAAGGAAACTGCCTTAAATGTGGGTAGAAGAACGAGAGCGGAGGGGGGGGGGCAAAAGGAGGAAGTTCAGCTGGCCCGTTACCATCACCACCATAAATACCCAGATCTATGGAAGGTTCATGAAGCGGAAATTAAAAAAAATATGTATTCCGAAGAATATTGGAAGTGAGAGCACGCACATCCGCAAACAGACAGATTTGCGCATCACAAACCATCATCTGGATCACGTGAATAACGATCGATCGAGACTGTGATTGTAACACAATGCGGCCAGTTCGTGACAGAACTCGTCAAAAATGATTGCAGCAAAGACCAGATTTCGTGTACTGGCCGGTATTTCTGGTTGATAAACAGTTTGCATCTCTTCATCCTCGGATCCAGAACTGTCTGGTAGAGGTGACTGGTGTGCACCGGAGGGTGGAAACACGGTGGCTCTGCGCAGAGCTGGACTCAACGCGTATCGAGCTGTACGAGACCAAATCGGTTTGGGCATGGACAACGGGGGAAGATGATGCTGTCCGACTCGAACCACCATTGGCGGTGTATGAGAGAACGAAGCAGCACGCGGTTGCGACTTGGGCGCGCTACCACTTGGGCGTGTTCGTCTCGGACGAAGATAGTCAACGGGAAGCA